GCTAGCTTTTGAATTTGTTTGCTCTTGCTTCTCTAGTTCTTCTCATTGTGATGTTAGGGTGTCAATTTTAGATCTTTCTCGCTTTCTTCTGTGGGCATTTTGTGCTATAAATTTCCCTCTACATACTGCTTTAAATGTGTCCCAGAGATTCTGGCATGTTGTGTCTTTGTTTTTATTGGTTTCAAAGAACTTATTTATTTCTGCCTTAATTTCGTTATTTACGCAGTAGTCATTCAGGAGCAGGTTGTTCAGTTTCCATGTAGTTGTGTGGTTTTGAGTGAGTTTCTTAATCCTGAGTTCTAATTTGATTGCACTGTGGTCTGAGACACTGTTTGTTATGATTTCTGTTCCTTTGCATTTGCTGAGGAGTGTTTTACTTCCAAATATGTGGTCAATTTTAGAATAAGTGCTATGTGGTGCTGTGAAGAATGTATATTCTGTTGATATGGGATGACGAGTTCTGTAGATGTCTATTAGGTCCACTTGGTCCAGAGTTGAGTTCAGGTCCTGAATATCCCTATTAATTTTCTGTCTCGTTGATCTAATATTGACATAGGGTGTTAAAGTCTCCCACTATTATTGTGTGAAAGTGTCTCTTTGTAAGTCTTTAAGAATTTGCTTTTTGAATCTGGGTGCTCCTATATTGGGTGCATATACATTTAGGATAGTTAGCTCTTCTTGTTGCATTAATCCCTTTAGCATTATGTAATGCCCTTGTCTTTTTTGGTCTTTGTTGGTTTAAAGACTGTTTTATCAGAGACTAGGATTGCAACCCCTGCCTTTTTTATTTTTATTTTTTTGCTTTCCATTGGCTTGGTAAATCTTCCTCCATCCCTTTATTTGGAGCCTATGTGTGTCTTTGCATGTAAGATGGGTCTCCTGAACACAGCACACTGATGGGTCTTGACTCTTTATCCAATTTGCCAGACTGTGCCTTTTAATTGGGGCATTTAGCTCATTTACATTTAAGGTTAATACAGTTATGTGTGAATTTGATCTTGTCATTATGATGCTAGCTGGTTATTTTGCCCATTAGTTGACGCAGTTTCTTCATAGTTTCGATGGTCTTTACATTCTGCTTCATTTTTGCAGTGGCTGGTACCGGTTTTCCTTTTCCATATTTAGTGCTTCCTTCAGGAGCTCTTGTAAGGCAGGCCTGGTGGTGACAAAATCCCTCAGCATTTGCTTGTCTTTAAAGGATTTTATTTCTCCTTTGCTTATGAAGCTTAATTTGGCTGGATATGAAATTCTGGGTTAAAAACTCTTTTCTTTAAGAATGTAGAATATTGGCGCCCCACTCTCTTCTGGCTTCTAGGGTTTCTTCAGAGAGATCATCTGTTATTCTGATGGGCTTCCCTTTGTGGGTAATCCGACCTTCCTCTGCGGCTGCCTTTAACATTTTTTCCTTTATTTCAACCTTGGTGAATTTGACGATTGTGTGTCTTGGGGTTGTTCTTCTCAAGGAGAATCTTTGTAGTGTTCTCTTACTTCCTGAATTTGAATGTTGGCCTATGTTGCTAGGTTGGGGAAGTTCTCTTGGATAGTATCCAGAAGTGGTTTTCCAACTTGGTTCCATTCTCCCTGTCACTTTCAGGTACACCAAACGTAGTCCCATATTTCTTGGAGGCTTTGTTCATTCCTTTTCATTATTTTTTCTCTAATCTTGTCTTCATGCTTTATTTCACTGAGTTGATCTTCAATCTCTGATATCCTTTCTTCTGCTTGCTCCATTCGGCTATGATACTTGTGTGTGCTTCACGACATTCTCATGCTGTGTTTTTCAGTTCCATCAGGTCATTTATGTTCTTCTCTATACTGTTTATTGTAGTTAGATATTCCTCTAACCTTTTGTCAAGGTTCTTAGCTTCTTTGCATTGGGTTAGAACATGCTCCTTTAGCTCAGAGGAGTTTGTTATTACCCATCTTCTGAAGCCTACTTCTGTCAATTTGTCAAACTCATTATCCGTCCAGTTTTGTTCCCTCGCTGGCAAGGAGTCATGATCCTTTGGAGAAGAAGAGGCATTCTGGTTTTTGGCATTTTCAGCCTTTTTGCACAGGTTTTTCCTCATCTTCGTGGATTTATCTAGCTTTGGTCTTTGCTGTTGGTGACCTCTGGATGGAGTGTTGGCTTGGTCATCCTTTTTTTTTTTTTTTTTTTTTTTTTTTTTTTTTGATGTTGATGCTATTGCTTTCTGTTTGTTAGTTTACCTTATAAAAGGCCCCTCTGCTGCAGGTCTGCTGGAGTTTGCTGGGGGTCCACTCTAGACCCTGTTTTCCTGGGTATCACCAGCAGAGGCTGAAGAATAGCAAAGACTGCTGCCTGTTCCTTCCTCTGGAAGCTTCATCCCAGAGGGCACCCGCCAAATGCCAGCCAGAGCTCTCCTGTATGAGGTGTCTGTCCATCCCTGCTGGGGGGTGTCTCCCTGTCAGGAGCCTCAAGGGTAAGGGACCCACTTGAGGAGGCAGTCTGTCACTTAGCTGAGCTCAAGCGCTATGATGGGAGATCCACTGCTCTCTTAAGAGCCAGCAGGTGGGAACGTTTAAGTCTGGGGAAGCTGTGCCCACAGCCGCCCCTTCCCCCAGGCACTCTGTTCCAGGGAGATGGGAGTTTTATCTATAAGCCTCTGCCTCTGATTGGGACTGCTGCCTTTCTTTCAGAGATACCCTGCACAGAGAGGAGGAACCTAGAGAGGCGGTCTGGCTATCATGGTTTTTTGGCACTGAGGTGGGCTCCACCTAGTCCGAACTTCCCAGTGGCTTTTTTTACACTGTGAGTGGAAAACCACCTACTCAAGTATCAGTAATGGTGGACATCCCTCCCGCCACTAGGCTCGAGTGTTCCCCGTTGACTTCAAACTGTTATGCTTGCAGTGAGAATTTCAAGCCAGTGGATCTTAGCTTGCTGGGCTCCGTTTGGGTAGGATCCACTGAGCAAGACCACTTGGCTCCCTGGCTTCAGCCCCCTTTCCAGGTGAGTGAATGGTTCTGTTTCTCTGGTTCCAGGTGCCACTGGGGTACAAAAAAAACTCCTGCAGCTAGCTTGGTGTCTGCCCAAATGGCTGCCCAAGTTTGTGCTTGAAACCCAGGACCCTGGTGGTGTAGGCACCCAAGGGAATCTCCAGGTCTGCAGGTTGCGAAGCCTATGGGAAAAGCGTAGTATCTGGGCTGGATAGCACAGTTACTCATGGCACAGTCCCTCATGGCTTCCTTTGGCTAGTGGAGGGAGTTCCCCAACCACTTGAGCTTCCCGGGTGAGGCAACACCCCACCCTGCTTCTGCTCACCCTCTGTGGGCTGCACCCACTGTATAACCAGTCCCAGTGAGATGAACCAGGTACCTCAGTTGGAAATGCAGAAATCACCCGCCTACTGTGTTGGTCTCACTGGGAGCTGCAGACCAGAGCTGTTCCTATTTGGCCATCTTGCCTGGGAATCAACCAGTTTAAATTCTTTTAAACATTTACTTAAAAAAACAGAAGCTCTAACAGCGAAGACAGAAAACAAACATGTATATAGGGGTCCTCTATAACCACAATTCAAATGTCTGAGAGAGGGCTTCACAGGTTCCGAAGCATTTACATTATCTTCTCCAAAGCTCACAATAGCTTTATGAAGTAGAAAGACGTCATTATTTTCTTTTGAAGTTAAAGAGGCCCCTAGAGGTAAATAATTTGCGAATAAAATTTCATGCTGGTGAGGAGTAGAATGGCAACTGGAATTTAGGTCTTTAGGCTTATTGATAAACGCTTCCAATTTTTCACTTTGAAAATGTGTTAAAAAATACTTGAAACACTAAGAACTTGAACTTCTTTAAATAATTCTCTAAAATGCCACACAACTACTTAAATATAGTAAATATTCTTAGGTTTATGTTTTTAGTATGAAAAGAATAAATACTTCAAGGATAAATAAGTTCAGGTGTCATCCTTAAGTCTGAAAGCCATTTATTAAAAGACAAAGTGGAGGATGATGGGAGACAGCAGGCAAGGAAAAATGGGAAAAGACCACAGCATTTCCTTATTATGGATATTCAGAAAATATTCAGAAGAACCTCGAGCCCCTGGACAGCTAACAAAGTTCTAAGGGCTTTACTCTTTCAAAAAGCCTAGAATTTTATCTATACCATCCTATCATACACATACGTATTTACTTCAGATCTTCTGTATAATTTATAAAGCCCTAAAATTCTTAGAAATAGCTTTTAATGATTATAGAAATGCTTTAGGAAGTATGATAGCTTATTCAATTCACTTTTTGTAAAAAGATTGTTCTGAACTTCCTACTGCTATCAAATCTTTTTAGGGGAAATGGAGCACATATTCATTTAAATTATCTTCTTATTTTAGTTTACTGGGCTCTTTAATCAATAAAATAAGTTTTTACTTTTGTTATCCTTTCTGTCCCATTCCACTACTGAGTTAAGCTTGACTAGAACTTTTTTCTATTGTCTATACCAGCACTTCCCAAAGTGGGTACCAAGGATCACTAGTGATAGAGCGAAGAAGTGTTAATGCAAACAAACAAAAGTAAAGGGAATTTTGCTAAACAATGCATAAAAAATTCCTGTCTTGGAAAGTCACAAAGGATACTAACATATAAAAAGCTTTAGAAATCCCATGCCGTGTTGAATTTTGCTTAATCCATTCTCACCAAATTTTTATTTTATCAGCCCCATTATAACAAGAAAAATCTTGCATTACCAAACTGGCTACATTGCAACATTTTCAGTGAAACCCAACTCAGTATAAATCACATAACAGGATCATAAAGTCCAACATGCATCTTAGTGACACATATATAAGGCTGCCTAGATCTTGCCAGACAGTGTTTCTTTGAGGAAAGGGGAACACTTAACATGATTTTCAGTTAGAGAATTATCGGTTTATTTTTTTTCTTTGAAGGAGCTTCCTGGCCAATCAAAGCTCCAACCAGACAAGTTAAGGCCTAGATTTACTACACAGGTATAAAAAACTAAACACAGAGCTAATATCAGTTTAATACCTTTTATCTTTAAATGCTAATTTCTCCAATTGGCTTCTCCAAATTATATCATCCTCTGTTTTATTGAAGAACATCAGCTTCACTTTCCTTAAAAGAAAAACAAAAACTCAGAAATAACTAATTAATTACATGTAAAATATGCACAAATGGCAAGTCTAAAGTGAACCAGCGAGAATGTTTTAGTGCCCAGTAGGTAATTAAAAATCATCAAAAACTGAAATGAGATAAAAGAACCTACTTAATACCTAGGATTAGAGGAGGCAGAGTAAGAAATGATGAATGAGGAAATGGTAACATGTCTATTAAGGTCCAGTGAGTAATCAACTTAGAATACCTTATACTAATATAACAGCCTCAAAAAGGATAGTAATTAGAGACAAAATTACATACCTGAGACTGGGTATATCAGTCAAAGCATAATTCAGTATTTTAACCATTGGAGTGAAGCCTGTTCCAGCTGCCAACAAAAAGAGATCTTCTAATTCTTGGAACTTGGATATTTTAAAATTGCCCTCAGGACTGCTTACAGAAACAAAATCTCCTAAACAATGAAATACAAACTAAATCAGAAAAAAAACACAAACAAAACAAAAAACCCAGCCGGGAAATTAAGAAGCCAAAAGTAACTGAATTTAAAACACTCAGGAGTAACAGTATAAATACTTAACTTGCAGACTATGTATCAGTCTTTAAGATAAATAAGTAGTCTTAAGGATACTCATTAGGCCCCTATGTATGTCTGAATCATATCATTACAGTCAAATTAATAATGAGGTTTTATGGTATAATTTCCCACCACTATTTTCCCAAACCATCAGAAGTCTGAAATTTACAAACTACTGCAAAGTACTTATCCACAAATTATCAATAAAGGATTGATTGCTAAACTAAATTTTAAGTACCTCAAAAACAGAGTCACATATATCTGTCTTACCTGGTACAGAGTAAAGAATAGATATTCACTATTTACATATTGATTATTAACCATAGTAACAGGATTAGTAGGAGAGAAAATTGAAATAGAAATGTATTCTAAAATCTTATGTTGATAAACACACCAACTTCTCTTCCACCAAATTTTTGAAAAGACCTATTTATTAAGAAAGGCTGTTCTGAGTTTAATTCCCATAAAAACAAAGCAAGATCAGAAATGCAGTCAACTATACTTAGAGCATGCCACTTTCCAATCTAGCATCAACACATTTGAGAAATCAGTGCCCATTTTCTACAGTCCAGTTGATATAATCACCATGTACCATTCATATAAGAAAATTATCTTTAGGACTAGATTCAGAAACTTGAAATGTAATCTTAAAAATGAAAAATAAAGCTGTGTATAATTTTTGAATGATTTAAAATACTCTATTTTAAAATGCTTGGATGCTCACAATTTTTCCTTTGTTTTCCATTGCAGGATAGTAAGAATCTTGCAGTAGTTGATGAAGTAAGTATTTGAAAACAGGGCTGGGCGTAGTGGCTCACGCCTGTAATCCCAGCACTTTGGGAGGCCAAGGCAGGTGGATCACCTGAGGTCGGGAGTTCAAGACCAGCCTGACCAACATGGAGAAACCCTGTCTCTACTAAAAACACAAAAAATTAGCTGGGCATTGTGGTACATGCCTGTAATCCCATCTACTCGGGAGGCTGAGGCAGGAGAATCGCTTGAACCCAGGAGGCGGAGGTTGCTGAGGCAGGAGAATCGCTGGAACCCAGGAGGCGGAGGTTGCGGTGAGCCGAGATCGTGCCATTGTACTCCAGCCTGGGCAACAAGAGCAAAACTCCGTCTCAAAAAAAAAACAACAAAAACCAAAAAACAATAGAACCTCCTTGTTATAGTTTGAAAAACACTGTAAGATTACAATGTCCTTAGGAAAGCCAGATGGTTGTTTACTAAAGAAGCCTCAGAGGACAGTATTAACTTGGTAACTTTTACCCACAGCCCAGTCTTTCCAATGCTAACAAAATTGATTAGACTCATGTAAGATAACTGATGCTAATCAAATTCAGAAGAGATTAAAGCACACATGCCAGAATGGCACAGCTGGGGTTACATGTACCTAGTGACCTGAACATTACATGTCCCATTGGGGATATCTTGTTCCCAGTATTAGAACACACGGAAAGCCAAATTAATCATGTAAAATCATGCTACTTAGTGAACATGGGATTGAAACAGAGATGGATAATTGCATGGGTTCATTCATTTAATGTACAACTCTCTAAGTGACACAAATATTTGTGCCATGTTGAGCCTCCCTAAATGAAGCTGAAATACTACTTCATCTTGTTCTTCGAGCTTTCCCTTTCCACACTCTAGGACAACTCTTCATCCTGCTATGTTTGCAAAAATCTCCATAAATAGGCTGTAATACCATTCCTTAAGTTTCCACTTACTGTATTATAATTATGTGTCAGTCCTTCTTTCACAAGGTGACAGTCACCTTCACTAGATTTGTAGGTACTCCAAAATACTTCAGGCTCAAATTCATATATAATATTTTGGTTTACGTAACCAAGGATGACTAATCATATCTCTTATGTGAAGTAGATATAATTAGCAGAATCATATCTACTACATTTCAGAAAGTAATGTAATTTTGTTTATTTCCAAATTTCAGTAATCTACTTCACTGATATCCCAAAATATTGCTAATGCTGCCTTGGAAAGAGGAACACTTTTGCCATTAGGTAAAAGGCAGTGAAAAGAAAATACAGAAAAAGGAGTAACAGACACCAAAAGGGAACAGAAGCAAGGGAAGTTTTCAAATCTTAATATATCTCATTATAGTTCTTTATTCATTCTTTCAAAGTACCTTTACTGGCTGGGCACAGTGGCTCACACCTGTGATCCCAGCACTTTGGGAGGCCAAGGTGGGCCAATCACCTAAGGTTAGGAGTTCAAGACCAGCCTGGCCAACATAGTGAAAACTCATCTCTACTACTTAGTCGGCATGGTGGTGTGTGCCTGTAATCCCAGCTACTTGGGAGGCTGAAGCAGAAGAATCACTGAACCCAGAAGGCAGAGGTTGCTGTGAGCTGAGATCAAGCCACTGCACTCCAGTCTGGGCGGCAGACCATCTCAAAAATAAAACAAACAAACAAAAAAACAAAGTACATTTACTGACAGCCTATTATGTACCAACTGCCATGCCAGGCGTTGGAAATACAAAGATAAGACAATTTCTGCTCTTAAACTCAGTCTTCTAATTGAGGAATATATTTATTCTTATAATAGAGCTATGAACAAACTGTTGTTATTGGGGGTTTCAGGGGAGGAGGAGGGCTCCATAAAGTGATATTCTGTTTGCGTCTTTTTATTTATTTTTATTTATTATTATTATTTTTTTGAGAGTCTCGCTCTGTTGCCCAGGCTGGAGTACAGTGGCATGATCTTGGCTCACCGCAACCTCTGCCTCCCGGGTTTAAGTGATTCTTCTGCCTCAGCCTTCCAAGTAGTTGGGATTACAGATGCCTGCCACCATACCTGGCTAATTTTTGTATTTTTAATAGAAACGGAGTTTCCCCATGTTGGCCAGGCTGGTCTCAAACTCCTGACCTCAAGTGATCTGCCTGCCTCAGCCTCCCAAAATGCTGGGATTACAGGCATAAGCCACCGCACCCAGCCCATGTTTGGGTCTTTTTAAAAAAGTACTTGACAGGTAAAGAAAAGGTTGATGGGCATCTTGGGTGTGGCAACTGCATGTAACTGTGAATGAGGATGACAAATCTGTGGAACTCTGAGTAGCAGAAGTATTTTTGTATAGCAAGAGATGAAGCTGGAGAGATTATCAATGTCTATGTAGGTCATGCAGTGTAGATAATGGGGACCCATCAGAGGTTTCAAAGCTGCAAAGCAGCTAGGGTCAATTGTGAGAAAACAGTTAGAAGCCAACAAAGATATGATGAAGGCTTACTATAAGACAGTGGCAGAAGAGGTAGCTGAAAAAGCCATTGAGATGTATACTCAACAAAATTTAGTGGCTGACTGGACTGGGAGAGAGAAAGTGGGAAGAAACAAGGCTGATTTGAGTTTCCAGATTGGATCAAGGATGAACAGTGATGCTGCAAATAATAAAAACAGGGAATATGGAGGAAGGCCATGCTGGGTGGGACAAAGAGAAGATAACTTTGGTTGTAGACATGTTGAGTTAAAGATATTTGATAGACTCCTACATGGAGATAACGAGAGGGCAATCTGATCCAATCTAGAGCACAAATGAGGTTACAAAAATGTAACAATACTAACCAATCTGAAGACGATCAAGCTCTGGTGTGAAGAGTCCAGTGTGATAGATTTTTATCAAAAAATAGATGTATTTATTGTTGGGAAGAACTGGTTCCTTGAACTCTGAGAGTAAGGAACCATATACAGGTGTATATGGCTTTACTATTTCTGTACCTAGAAAAAAAAAATCACAGCAAAAAAATTAAACTTTAAAAATCCAAAAACCTCTTAATGAAGATGAAACATCCAAATTTTATGATACCATCAGTATATATTTAAAACTATATACCTAATGGGTATATAATTCTAATGATTTTTCTATATGTATATAGTATATACGTATATATACCCCAAGCCTGTATGTGCCGAAACAATTTTCACAAATCATTATTGTACCCATAATATAAACAATGTTTTTATTATGTATAGTCTAATTTAATAGAAATATATGGTAATAAGTTTAGACAACCACCTATTCCATCAGCAAATAAACTTTGTAATGGGCCACAACAAAAACCGCATCAAAAATTTACCATGGAGATGTTAAAAAAAAAGTATTTACCTTATAATTTTAATTATACACCAAATTTTTAAAAATGGTTACTGATGACCAGTGGGATCATTTAGGGGAGAAAAAGGAAGAAATTTCACTTTTTACTTTACGTACTTTAAATTGTTTTAATATTTTAACATATTATATATTACTTTAGTAACTCAACAAAAAGAATGTTAATCTAGCTACTTCTAAGAATATATTATTTTCTTAAAGAGTAAAATAAATAACTCATTTTATTTTAGGTAGCCAAATCCCAAAGAGAAGAATCATCACATGTTTGAAAGACCAAAAATTTTATGCATGGCTCCTTAATGTATACAAAATACATATATTAATTAAAATGCATTGGCAATAACTGGAGAAGATACCAGCTCTTGAATTAGGTAACCAGGCATTAGTGATGAAAAAGAGAAAACCAGCCATTAGTGATGAAAAACAGAAAACCTTAACAGTGCCTCATCATAATGTATCTACTAAGACCTAGCTGGTAACATTTTAGACAATTGCCGGAAACACTACAGCTGACAGGAGAATTTTACTGTTTGCAGCTTCAAAAGGTGAAGAAAATGTTGGACATCAATAACAAGGGGTATTCAAAACAAGTGAAGTAAATTTAGGATAAAAATGAAAGAAAGAAGAATTCATATTTATACATTTATAGAGCTTCTTATACTGGTAGCACATAGAATAAAATAATTTCCAATCATTCACTCATTTTAAATTTTATAGATTCAACTTCATAAATGATACAACCCTAAGTAGCTACTAAGAGACACCAGTATGAGCTTCTAGTAGTTGTCTTCATGGAAGACTGTTTGTGCAGTCTCTCATCTCTTTCCTTTAGGGTTTTGTTAGTCATAAATTACAATGCTGGTGGAATCATCTGTCTAACCTACTGGCAATATCTTTGTTCCACATGATAATATGGTCCAGCTATAGTTCCAACATGTAGAACATGTTGCAGTCACAAACCTAGATTCTGACTATCACTAAATCTAGCTGCCTGGAAACATTTATTAATAACTTAAATGGTTGTTTTCTAGAGAGAATAGTACTGATTTTGAACTGCTTATAAAAGAAGAAAATGTGTCCCAAAGCCTCTATTCACCTTACCTGTAATAGGTAGCTTGAGGTAAACATGTTGCCCAATGGGCACTTGAAGATGAGTGCTTGGTGGCAGCATCAAACAGAAAAGCCTCGTATCATGAGTAACATTTTCCTTGGAAATTAACTGGCACTTTCTGTAGTACAAACCTAAAAAGTGATTCATTTTCTCTTATTGATACATAAATTAATAAGTAATACTAAACCACTAAGAGAAAGCACACACTCAGCTTCTGTTTTCTAGAAAGCTTCAACTTCATTAAAATGCCTATACATTTAAAAAATTAATCAATATTTTAAGGTTAATTTTTCCATTTTATTTCCTGAGATATCTGTTGACCAAGACCTGTAAATACTTCTATAACTTGAAAGATGAACTTCATGAGTGTTACTTCCTCACATCTGTTATTATAGCATGTTAAACCATTATGTTCTTAAAAAAAAAAAAAAAAAAACCCTAATTTTATTTGATAATGAATAAGTTTACATTCTAAAGTCTTTAAAAAATTTTTTTTTTTTAAGAGATGAGGTTTCACTATGTTGCCCAGGCTAGTGTCAAACTTCTGGACTCAAGCAATCCACCCACCCTGGCTTCCCAAAGTGTTGAGATTACAGGCATGAGCCACCGTACATTCTAAAATCTTTTCTTATACAATGGAAAAGTCCTGAAGCTCAAGCCTTTAAGGTTTAACAACAGTAGCACTATTAAGCAATTTTAGAATATCTCTTTGACAAAGGCAAGAAGATATACATTCTTGTGTCTCTATGTTTGTGTGTATGTATTTTATATATATGATTAGAGAACATTTTAACTGTCACAAAATGATTAAAATAAAATTTTTTTTTTTTTTTTTTTTTTTGAGATGGAGTCTCGCTCTGCCACACAGGCTGGAGTGCCGTGGCGCAATCTCGGCTCACTGCAAGCTCCGCCTCCCGGGATCACGCCATTCTCCTGCCTCAGCCTCCCGAGTAGCTGGGACTACAGGCGCCCGCCACTGCGCCCGGCTAATTTTTTCTGTTTTTAGTAGAGACGGGGTTTCACCATGTTAGCCAGGATGGTCTCGATCTCCTGACCTCGTGATCCGCCCGTCTCGGCCTCCCAAAGTGCTGGGATTACAGGCTTGAGCCACCGCGCCCGGCCTAAAATAAAAATTTTTATGCTTAAAGGTGTAGGTTTTGGTATCTGGAAAATTAATACAAGTGAAAAGCTGAAGATGGTAGGATTAGGATTATGGTACTAATATACAAATAGATAAAAAGAAACAAATATTTTTATAAATACTAGAGAAATTTGAAATTAATATCCCAAGCTCAGAAAATATTGTTTGTATACAGAGCAAATAATACCATTTGAATTAAAAGAATTTATTATAGAAGTTCTGAAATAATTAAGATTTTCACTTGTAAATTCTCTTTGAACATAAATAGCATATCAGAATAATGTGAAGATATTAACTTTTTATTTCCTCTCTCAAAATAGTATTTACAGAGATGTAAAGGAATAAACCCTGATAATATATTTCTTATTCTAGTTATTCTCTTTTTTTAATCCAAAAATATTCAAGTAGGTGCAGAAATATTTTCCCCAGATCTTAGAAAGTGAAGAGCCAACAGCTAATAATCAACGCTTAGTGGAAAACTGAAATTCACATATAATCCTAAGAAATCATTTTAGTCACAAGTGAATCCAACTTCCCTTCTCCCTTTTGCTCCCCACAGATCAGTCACTCAATTTTCCACCTGCTATCATTGTAGCAGTAAGTATATAAGCTTAGACTACATCACTTTATGCAAAGACCCTGGAGTACCACTAGAGGCCACCTCACTCTAGTGCCAGGGCACAAGTTTGGACCAGATTACGGCTAATAGTCCACCCTAAAGTTATCCTGGAAGGCCTAACAAGCACTGGCCTAACCAAAGGGTCAAAGGACATAGGCCCATGCACAAAGAGAAATGAAAGTGCAGATGATCTCTTTATTTCTTTTTCCAGACCCTTTCTGGAACTCACAGTAAGAATACAACGAGAGACCCACATACTATATACATATAAATATTTAACAGTTATAAATCAGACAAATAACTGTCAAAGTATGTTCTATGCTATATCTTGAAATATACAGCTTCACAAGGTCCTAGAAGGCTAGGTTCAAATTTGGGATTCTTAAGCTCCTCAGAATATCAGTGAGATGGCCGAGGAATGAGACCTGCACTCCCACTGCCTGCCCCCATTGTCTTCTCATCCTTGGCTGTCTGACTCTGAGTAGGGGCTTAAATGGGTCTGGATACATTAACCCACAGGCTCAACCTCATGCACTAGCTTTTCACATAAACAGCCCTGGCCACTCCTTGGATAGAGGTAGATTTGGGGTCGTTTGGGCAGGGAATTCCATGGTTCTAGATACCTAGAGGGTGAAGTTGAAAGAAAGAGGATGAGCTCCAGGTGGATACTTCGTGGTCTTGTAATACTCCTTACCTTGTGGGAGGGGTATGGCTGTGGCTGGAGATAGTCATGTGGGGCTCTCCAAGTGTGGAACCCAGGGCAGGTGCCCTTCTTGCGCAAGTCTAAGGACCACAGTGGTGTTTTCTTCTAATAAAATCTAGTGCATGTCATTTTGATAACTTTACAGCTAGATGAAAATGCTCACCTTCTGGACTGACAATTTCTACTCTAGCATTTGCTAGAAAAGTTTGCTATAGTAACTATGCAACTCTCCAATGATATTTAAAACACAAGGAAATACTGGGTTACAGTGATTTACTGACTTTCCTTGTTAGAGAGTTGACACAGCATTCTTGTTATTTAACACTACTGAGATAATTTCAATGTTTTACCCACAAAAGGCTGACTATAATTTCAAAAGGACATCCTAACTATAGGTTCTAAGAATTTTAAGAAAGTTTTCATCTTTCAATTGCATCAAGGAGAAAGACAGCACAGACAGATGGGAACTGCAGTATATAAGATAAGAAAAAAGTATAAAGCAGATGGCACTGACTACTTTAGTCTGCACAATGCCATTATTTAACTGTCAGCTTTTTGGCTTTCTAAGCACAGGTAATTATACTAAAAAATGAGAAACTGAAAATAAAGACAGTAAAACAAAAACAAGACAGAAACATTACTGCCCCAAATACCTAACTTATTTGAATTAAATACATACAATTAATATTGAGATACTCAGGGTAAGGCTGAAATACTGAGGATAATAAGACTATTTGAGCATACTTTTTTCTTAATGTTAAAAAGAAACTGTATTTTCCCTTTTAAAAAATAGAATTTCACAAGGCCAAAACAGAAAACACAGGTAAAGTCTTCAATGGGAGACAGAAGAGAAAGAGAAGACTGCACTAGGAGTCCACGCTGCCTTCAACTGGCTTCTCCTTCTTGCACTTTTGAAGCACTTAGTTACTCTTACTTTCCCTGCTGGAAACAGAAGCTTATAGAAGTTAAAAAGCTTGTCCAACATCTCAGGGCATCTAGAAAAGATGTGGGATGGAGCAAGAAGCTATTAGGGTTTCTTGTCCCAACTCAGTAGGCCTTGTTTAAAAAGTTTGAGAACATGATTAGTAATTATTAGTAGCCAATCACTATAGACAAGTTGAGGATGCAATGGAAAAGCTCTCGAAGGAAATTTAAAGTCCTACTTCAGTGAGCACATGAATGATATGATAAGAAAGCAAAATAGCCTTATTGCTGATTTGTAGAAAGTTTGAGTGGTCTGGATAGATGAAACCAGCCAGAACACTCCCTTAAGCCAAAAACCTGATCCACAGCAAGGTCCTAACTCTCTTCAATTTTGGAGGGCTGAGAGAGGTGAGGAAGCTATAGAAGCAAAGTCGGAAGCTAGAAGAAGTTGGTTTATGAAGTTTAAAGAGAGAAGCTATCTTCATGACATACATCTCTACCAGAGTTCTTGGGTGACTAGGTGCATTGTCAATGAATGACAACAATTCGAAAGGAATCTTTTTTTTTCCACATAGTAAGTCTCAACAGTGGGCTTCAAATATAGAAGTTTCACCATTCTAGATGCCATTAAGAACATTTGAGATTTATGGGAGGCAGTCAAAATAGCAACATTAACAGGAATTTGAAAGGTGATTCCAATTCCCACGGATGGCTTTGAAGGGTTCAAGACTTCAGTGGAGGAAGTAACTGCAGGTGTGGTGGAAATACAGCAAGAGAACTAGAATTAGAAGTGGAGCCTGAAGATGTGACTGAATTGCTGCAATCTCATGATAAAACTTGGAACAGATGAGGAATTGCTTCCTAGGGATGAGCAAAAAATGTGGGTTATTGAGATGGAATCTACTCCTGGTAAAGATGCTGTGAAATGTTGTTGAAATGGCAACAGATAATTTAGAATGATACATAAACTTAATTGATAAACAGCAACAGAGTTTGAGAGGACTGACTCCAATTTTGAAAGCAGTTTTACTGTGAATAAAATGTTATCAGAGAATCTTTTGTGAAAGAAAGGGTAATCGATGTGGGCAAACTTCATTTTTTCTTAAGAAATTACCACAGCTACCCCAACCTTCAGCAACCACCACCCTGATAAGTCACCAATCATTAGCATCGAGGCAAGACTCTCCACCAGCAAAAAGATTATGATTCACTGAAGACTCAGATGATTTTTAGCATTTTTTAGCAATACATTGTTTTTTAAATTAAGATGTGTAAGTTGTTGTTTAGACATAAAGCTATTGCATACCTAACAGACTAAAGTATAATGTAAATATAACTTTTACATGCACTGGGAAACCAAAAAAATGGTGTGACTTGCTTTATTGTGATACTCCACTGCGATGGTCTGGAACCCAACCCACAGTATCTCCAACATATGCCTGTAAGTGGCTGTTCACATATCAAAATTGTGAGACCTTTTTTTTTTTAATCTTGTTTCCTAAGACAATTGACTGGGTTATTTGTTGGCAAATCTTTAAAATTACCTTTGTTTGGTGATCCAAGACTCCACATTAAAGACAATTATCAATTAAGATAAAAATGCTAATGTTACCTTGTGTATAGAAATAGCAATTCAATTATCTATTGATTTCTGACCCTTATTAGAGAAGTTCCTCAGCCATCTCTTTCTCTATTGCTTTCTCTCCCCCTGCCTCTTTCTCCCACATAACCCCCACAGCTACTC